GCTCATGACATAAGGATTCTATTATGGGCCATGGAAGATCTGTCTGAAAGAAATATCAATAAATTATTGAAAATTAGATGACACCTCATTTTATGAGCAATTTCTGGCAGGTATAAAAAATGGGTTGGAAAATTATGAACAACAAAATGAACCTTTCCCCACTATTAGATTTGTGTCTAAAAATATTAACATTGTGCATTGAAAAAATGAAATTTGCACTGAAAATACAAGTAAATCGCTGTTTCTGCAAAGACAGACTCTCTTAAAGAGATACAAACTTTTCTGTACGGGCTCACAGTAAATCAGCAGTGAAAGAAAACAGAGATTCATTTAACCACTGGTATTGGGACTTGAAGTAGTTCAAACATATATAGACAAATATTTAAATTAAAAAAAAAAAAAAATGGATAGTAATGGAAGTGGTGCAGGAGCCCAAACTCCAATATCAGCCATGGTGTACACTGTGAAAACAGTCAACTCAAGCTGATATAATTAATAGTAGGAACTGGGCATTTTAGCTCTAAGTGCCCTTTGGTCTTGTTGAAATGTGTGATAACATAACAAGCATAGCAGACACAATTTCTTCTGCTACTCAAAATTCAAGAGATGTTGCCCGCAGGAAAGTCTGTCTTCTGAAATTTCATTCCTGTTCATGAAGAGTTTTTATTTCTGCAACCAATTAGGGATAAGTCCCTTCAAAAAATCAAATCAACAAAACACAGAAAACAAAAAGCACAAAGGTATCTCTAGGAAGCAGCCACTTGTTTTCAGAAAGGAGAAAAAAAAGGCAAACAAGAGAGCACAGTCTCTGGCTGCAGAATGATTCATGGAATATTTTGACTGTTCCACCATCCAGGCAATTCCCAGTCTTAGCCCGCGGCTCAAATACAGTTTGATTTAGGAAATTTTTAGGATTGCTTTCAGAAATAAACACAAAACATAATTACTTTTCCTAGACTAAGAATTAGAAGAGAAAATCCCCAAATTTACTTTGACATGGAGTGCTTTCTTCCATTAGTCATTCCATATTAACTGGAACAATCACTATGTTTAAAGATGTATTACACTTTAGGAGATAATTTAGTTAATTTGATATGAGGTTACTAAAATGCTAAATAGAAATATCCACCGTGTATTTAAGGCAGTTTTAGTAACCATTCGAAAAGGCACATCAGACTTGTTATAACTTATCCTTGTATAGGTAACTCTAAATAAGAATTCCAACTTATGCTGCTGATAAAAATGAAGAGAGTGAGACTTCAGATCAGATGAAGAACCTGCTTTTCAGAGACTGCCGAGGCATTTGATTTCTACCTACCTGTTTTCTCACTGTCAAATGCCAGGGCAACCACAAAGGACAGACTGTTATTACAAAGCCAGCAACACTTATTTTATTTCACATTTTGCAACTGGTTCATATTTGAAGCCAAATTCAGATGATAGCTTTCTAATTATTCTCTCAATCACTTGGCAAACTGTGAGGAACTATAAAACAAAATGAGCAATGATATATAACAATGCTGTGTGGCAGGGAAAAATACATAGAACTATTCTTGGGTGGACAAACTCAATACCTGGAGAATGCCAGGAGTAAAGTCCATCTATAAAAGTCACATTTATGCCCAGGGACAATTTAAGCATTTAACAGTTAAAGATAAATTCTGTAGTAGTAACACAGATAACAAAATGGTACATTTCTCCTAAAAGCACTTATATAGAACCTGGAAAGATGCCCAGAAAGAGCCCAAGGCATGTAAACCAATGATAATATTTGTATGTTCTCCAAAATAAGACAGTACCTGTACTGCCTCATCAATAAGACTAGAGTGGTGCATAGACAATGGGCACTGACGATAACAACTTTCTGAAAAAGTAAATTGGAATAGAGGTAAAAAGGGAGATACTATAATGCAACAATTCCTTTTACGGGAAGACTACTACTCACTGGAGAAAAAAAATTTTGCTCTGATGAATACAGAAAATAGGCATTTCCTTGGATAAATTTCCTTTTACATTTCAGAAGGAAGGAAAAGAAAAATCAAGTAAACTGCTGCTTACTCGAGAAAGTCTGTTCTGTCAAGTGTGCAATTACTTTCCTCTAGCAATGATGGAACTGCAAAATAACTATTCAGAAGTGATACTTCTCAGCAGATAGTCCTTCTCTGGTTCAAGCTATGAAGCCGTGATAACTACATCTGTATTTTAAAAAGGATCATGATGCTTTATGTAGTGTATCCTGCCTACATTAAGTAGAAAATATCTGAGATATTTATTTTTTAAAATCACTGCAAATAAAACTGGTGTAAAAATCTATATGAGCACTCTTATCTTGGTTCCAACCAAGACTACATTTAGCAATACAGTTAATCAAACAACAAAAGACTATTTTAAATTGGAAAAAGAAGTCTCCAGAATAATTTATAGTATTTATAATTTATAGTATATAGTATAATTTATAGTATAATTTATAGTATTTTAAAGCAGGGCACACTTGTGTAGAGGTAAGTCTCAAAGAAGCAATGTGCCATAATACATTATGTGCTGTTAGAATATACAGAAGCTTGCCCCCTGGTTTTTGCAAATAAACAGAGGCTGGTTATCTCAATTCCTGCAAAAATGATAGGGCATACCTCTCTCTGTGTGATGACTGAACACAAAAAGGCAGAATGCAGTTACCCAGTAGCTTCTTCTGCAGATGTAGCTTCAACATCATTCTCAAAAGTGGGGCAAAACCTGGAAGCAGAAGGATCCAATTGCCCTGAAAATGATATAAAGTAGGACACAAGATGCTTCTCAGTTATGTTTGCTGTGAACAGCCCTAATTGCCAGCACATGCTGATAGCAACCAGTGATACACTGTCAGTATCTGCGCCTGGTATCTGTGTCAGCCATGCTGGAAGCCAGGCATGAAGGCATGCAGGTCTGCCCTCCTTTGTACCACATACACCTGATTTTTACTGTTTATTTGATGCAAATGAGCACATGGCATCTGCCACTGGGGGACCTCAAATCAAACTATACATTTCAAACTTGATCTCCAATAGAAGTCCATCCGTGCCCCACTGAATACTCCTGGAGCTTGAAAGGAGATATATCTGAAATGCATGTTTTCCAAAGTTTTCATTGGTTTGGAGATGTCACATTGCATGTGCCACCTGTAACTTTTGCAGGCATTGCCACCTGCAGGCATTGTCCTTAGTTTTAATCTGCTAGACTTTTGTTCAAATGCAAAGAACAAGGCCTCTACAAAGTGGTTTTTGTGTTGTTTCTTTTTTTCACATCTGTAACCCAGATGCATCACCTTTATTAATTATAGGCAAAGCTAGTCCTGTAAGTTAAACAGGCCTGCTTTATCTTCATGATGTGAATTTCCCAGGCCATGGTGCACGTCATTAATCATATATGCACCAATTTCTTTCATGGCGGGAGGGGCAGGAGTCTCACACAGCACCCTCAAAACAAGATGGCCTCATATTGACAAACAGAGGAGTGAAGATTATAAATCAAGAGAGTTGCGAGCCCAGCATCACCAGTTCTCATGCTTTAATGCTTGAGTAAGTTTCAGTGTTCCTACTGCACATCAGCGAGTACAGGAATATATAAGAAAAGTCTCAGTCAAATTTGACATTTTAGTATTAAATGTAGAGAAATCATATTCAGCAATGCCTGGACAGTCTGGAGAGTTGTGCACAGAGAAATCTGATGAGCTTCAACAAGAGAAAGCGTAGAGTCCTACACCTGGGGAGGAATAACCACATGTACAGGTGTAGGTTATGGGCTCACCTACTGGAGAGGAGCTTTCAGAGAAGGACCTGGGTATCCTGATGGACTACAAGTTGGCCATGGGCCAGCAGTGTGCCCTGATGGACCAAGGCCAGTGTATCTTTAGGTGCACCAAGAAGAGTGAAGCGAGCAAGTTGGGGGAGGTGATTCTTTCCCTCTGTTCTGCCCTGGTGAGGCCACATCTGCAGCGCTGTATCCAGTTCTGGGCTCCCAAATTCAAGAAAAACAGGGAACTTCCTAGAGGGAGTCCAATGAAGGGCCACAAGGATGATGATAGGCCTGGAGCATCTCCTGTATGAAGAAAGGCTGAGCGATCTGGGGCTGTTCTGCCTGAAGAAGGCAGATGTCATTATATTTATATTGAAAGCACAGGAGTCAAGTGAATGGGGCCAGGCTGTTCAGTGCTGTGCAGCAACAGAGCAAGGGGCAACAGGCACAAACTGGAACACAGAAAGTTTCATATAAAAACGAGGAAGAATTTACTGTGAGGATGACAGCACAGGTACAGGCAGCCCAGAGAGATTGTGGAGTTTCTTACTTTGCAGATATTCCATACCCATCTGGACACTTTCCTGTACAACCTGCTGTAGGGAACCTGCTTTAGCAGGGGGTTGGACTCGATGATCTCCAGAAGTCACTTCCAACCCCTGTGGTTCTGCGATTCTGTATCCTTACATTGCGCGTAGCAATGGAGCACGGAAATCATAGGCACCGGGGGAAACCCCGCCTGGGAGCGCTGAGCCCAGAGGCCAGACGGGTCGGTGAGGGGAACGGGGCTCCCGAGCCTTGAGCTGACAGCCTCACACGGCACGGGGTAAAACCCGCCGCGGAGAGCGGAGATTCACTACAGCGGAGGCTGAGGGAACCGGGGCTGGGCGAAGCGCGAGGAGCTGTCAGCCTTTCAGCAGCGTTAATAAGCGCGGCCACCCGCCTCGCTGCCGCCTCACAGCCCCCCGTCCGGAGCGCTGCCCGCTCTCCCCTCTCACCCCGGGGCGCCGCCCGCGCTCTCAGCGGCCGCCGGGCGCCGTGGGCGTGCCCCAGGTGAAGCACCCGCCCCCGGGCCGTGCCCGGCCCCCTCGGGGCTCCGCTTAGCCCCGCCCCGGCCCCTCCCAGGCAGCTCCGTGAGGGGCAGCGCGCGCGGCGGGGCCGTTAAAAGCCTTCCCGCCCGCCCGCGCGTTCAGTCGGCGGAGCCGCCGCGCGGCCGGCGGGCGTCAGCGATGCTGGAGAATGGATCTCTGAGGAACTGCTGCGACCCGGGCGGGAGGGGTCACTTCGGCTCGGCGGAGCGGGAGGCGGCGGCTGGAGGCGCCCCGCGGCCCGCCTGGGTGGTGACGGCTCTCTCCAGCGTGCTGATCTTCACCACCGTGGTGGATATTTTAGGCAACCTGCTGGTCATCGTGTCCGTCTTCAAGAACCGCAAGCTCAGGAACTCAGGTAAGGCAGAAGCGGGAACCCGGAGCCGAGCGGGCGCCCCGCTCTGAGGGGAGGAGCCCGTCTGTGGGGCTCAGAAAGTCCCCTTCAGACAGGGATGTGCGCGGGACCTCCGGGCGCCCAGTGCTCTGTGGGTCCCTCCGCGCTGCGCGCTGCTCTAGCGAGTGCGGGTCATTGCGAGGCTCTTAATGAGGCGCTGTGCGCTCCTTGTGGAGCTGCTGCTGTTGGGGGGATCGATGTCACGTTTTAAACAGTGCTTAAAAGTACGGGATGAAGAAGGAACTTGCCCGGAGCACTGAGGTGAGGTGTGTGGGAAGTGGAGCTCCGGCTCTGGACTGCTCGTTGGAGTTTGCTGCAGTCCTTCACGACGTTGTTGTTCTCTGCTCATGTGTCCTCCGACCAAAATAAAGTATTTTCCTTCTTTTTGAGTCACGTCTATAGTTGTTTTCTTTTTTCCTTTATGTGCTAGAAAGTGGCTTTGTGTGCTTTGTGAAACTTCTCATCTCTGCTGGGCAGGTTACACCTGCCTCCAACCACATCACTGCCAATCGCACCCCTCGGGTTTCCCTTTCCCCCCTCAGACTTGTTCTATCAGATCCACACACAGGGCTGTGACCCCGGGGTGCCCGCAGCTCCCTGAGCGGGCTCTGAGGCATTCTGATACCACTCTCTGCTTCAGGTCCTGGGAAGATGACCTCGTTCTGTGTTGTCTGCCCCGTGTTCCGGGCAGCAAAACCTTGCTTGAGAGCTGTGAAATCATATGCACAACTGTATGATCTTGCATCTATCCGACCTCATGCCTAACAGCGTGATGCTGCCTTACGAAGGGGAGGAGGAACTGGGTAACTGGGTGCTTGAATTTCCCGGTTGTTTTTTTGTTTTTTTTTTCTTTGTGGATCACAGTTCCTCCTGAATTCCACGTGCAGTGTTTCAGCATCTCCTACTACCTGGGACAGTGCACTCATTCGCCCTTATTTTTAATTAAATAAATTTTTAAGAATATCATTGCAAAGAAACGAGACGTCTCCCAGGGGAAGAAATGGGGAAGGAGCTGCTATATGCACTGGGTTCGGCGTTTAACTGGTACTTAAACTGCGTGTTCTAGAGAACTGAACCGTTATCGAGAGCAGCAGAGCAGTACCGAGGTGAGGACAGCGATGCCCGGTGCTGAACCGGGAAAGGGAGCACCGCCACAGCTTCCCTTCCCCCGGTCCGGGCTTGGGGAGGCTTGCGATGGAACGCGGAGCCGGTCCCAGCCATCAACTCCCGGCCGAAAGGGGAGCAAGAGGGGGATTTCCTCCGGACTGCTTCCTTCACTCAATGACAGCAGAGGGAGGAGTTGGACTGGAAGAGTTTGCTGCTTGGAAGAATAAGCTTTAAGATGCTGATTAAAGTGCTCCATGGTGTCTGAAGGCTGATGAAACAAGACAGTCTTCTTATCTAATCTGAATATATACTAATTTATTTCCTTTTAGTGTCATCCTTTATGTGCTATCACTGACCCTGTTTCATTGATCTGTTAATCTTTGATAAGTATCCTGAAGAACAGCAGGGAGTTCCTTCAGTGTAGTCTTCATAAAGTTAAATACCTTAAAATTGCCAGTCTCCAGCTTGCCATCAGGGAGGGATGTGTCTTGGGGATAAAGCTGAAAGGAGATAGGTTGATAAATGTACTCAGAAAATTTTGTAAGTAGTGAGCAGAGGCAGGGAACAGTGCTGTTGGTGAAGTGGTGGAGAGAATGGGGAAGTGATGGAGAGCTGAGGCATTGCTCAGGAGCTCTCAGACAAGGAAAGATGTATCAATAAGTGGACCTAGGGCTGCTCCTTTCTGAGCCAACTAGAAACATGCCAGTACTGGCAGGATACAGGGATGTGTGGAAAAAATGGAATGGTGAGGTGAAAAAGACATGATGAATTACTCTTGTCTCTCTATGACATTGCTTATTACAACATGAAACCAGTAGAAAGCCTGTGGGCAGCAGAGAGAAGGTCTAGATGACTGAAAGAAAAAGGAGTGATAGCACTGTGAATGCTTGATTCTCCCTTGAAGTAGCTAATGATAGTGATTCTTCCGGAGGAGTGAGAGTAGGGATCTTTCAAATAAACCACTGGTTTATAAGAAATAAATTAAGCAGCTCTAACAATTTCTACAGTACAAATAGTAATCCTCTATTCAGAGAGCAAACCAAGGCTTTATCATATTTTCAGGACTTACCAATGTTCTGTTCAGTGATTTACAAAGAAATCTGATTATTGCAAACAATTTAATTACACATCACTCTCCTGAAAGCCTGGTCAAAAGCAAATCTGTTTTTCATGCTGATATATAGTATGAGACACAGAATGGAGTTGAATAAGATGACCCATTAACCTTTAGGTTGGTAAGTGTTATGCTTAGCAGAAGAGAAATAGAGAATGGTTAGGACTGATGTTCTTAGAGTTTGTTCATTCAGTTCTTAAACAGTGGGAATGTTGCCAGCCATACAATGGAAAGACTGCTTCATGGCACACAGAATCTTCTTTCCTACATTTAGATTTGTTTTTGGAGGAGGAGGGGGAGAATTTGTGCAGGCTCTTCCAAGTAGTGCATAGTATAATTGGTATGAATCAACATGCTTGTCTTCTTACATAACTGCACCCAGCCTTTCTGTGAGAGGCTGAGCAATTTCTGATCTCTAAAAGTGACTGAATTTACAGAAATTAATGCTTTTATAATTTCTAATTTTAGAGAGGAAGTAACTTAGTCCAACACACTAGAAAATGAAAGAAAATTTTGTATGTCAGAATGAAATAAATTAGCCTGTCTTTCTATTTGACACTGTGTACTGAATTTTCAAAAGTGACTATTGATCTTGTGTCTTCATTTAAGTGCGCCCAGTTGGAGGCAGCTTTTAAAGCACTAAACTTTTCCAGTGCTAAAATTCATGTACGCTAAATAGTCACTGCTGAGTGGTCAAGTGTCCTGAGGGTGTATCCAGTCACTGAAAATCACTAGATGCTTTTAAGAATTTTGGCATACTTTTGTATAGGCATAGCTCTAACCATAACATTACAGCTGGTGTAAGATCCCAAGATGATAGAATTCAGAAGGTAGGAAAAGACAAGACATCTCTCTTGGGAGGGAGATAGAGCAACCCATTTGTATTTCACTGGCCTTAAAACTGCAAAATCAGTGGGAAATGAGAATTAGACGCATTAACTCAAATATCATTTCAAATAGTAGAGAAGATTTTGAGACCCTTTTGGTTCAGCAGAAGACTTAATATTAACCTTGGTGCACTGCCAAAGAACGCATTAGCAGAAAGTGATATTTCTAGTATGTTTTGTCAACCCACTTTAATCTCTTCCTTTACTACTTTCCTTTTTATATATAACAACTAGCACAGCACAGTAATACTAATACCCTTTCAAATAAAAATTCATGGTATTTTCCCCACATGTGATCATAGCTGCACTTGCATGTTAATTAAATCCAATGAGTGAGTTTGTGTGTGTGGCTGTAGAGATGGACATGCTACTCAGATGCATAGGCATTGGTACAAAGTAAAACATTCCTGCACATAGAATTGTAATTTTGGAACTCATCTTTCTACTAAATAAAAATATCCAATAATATAATCAAATCTTGTACTCTTTTTTTCCTTGCTATTTTCCTTTCTGTAGACTTCACATTTCTATCTGTGATATAGTTTTCCCCAGTGTTATATGCTGTTTTCAATTATTCTTCATATCTTTGGATACAGCAATTCAAGTTCCATGGGACAGAGAACAGCCATCTCCTCAGGTGGAATTTATATCTTCTGATTTTAGAAGACTACAATGGAGATACCCATTTCTGAGCTTCTTCCTTTGGGCTCCCTTTAGAATTTAAGTAGAGAAGTAAACATTTTTGGGGCACAATTCAGCCAACTTATTTTTTGGCGTCTACATTAGTTCGGCACGATTCAGAGCACAAAAGTGTTTATTTCTTTCTATTTAAAAAGAGAAAGAATCTGGAGGAACTATCTCAGTGTAGACATTTACCTTGTGGTGGGATGAAATAAACATGAGAATTCAAAGTCATCATGTAATTCTTCTAGTAGCTTGCTTAGCTACATTTTTAAATTTGCACATTTTTCTTCTCCTCACTGTCAGTCCTCCAAAAGTTCCCATTGATCCAAATAAGACTGATACAACTTAAATCTTTCCTGGGTCCTGAAACCACTTGGAAAATTTGGCTTTGAATGTCAACACTGATGCTGAAAAGAATATATTTTGATGAGCAGAACATGGGTGCTTACTATTTTTGGTTTCAGATAGGACCCTGCCTAACAGAACTACTGTACTCCGACTTCTTGAAAGCTGGATCTTAGCTCTGGAAAGTGGATCTTGGCTCTGTGAGCGTGTGTGGCCAGCAAGCCCTCATGTTCTCTCATGTCCAAGACCTTTAGCCTTGAAGCTGCTTGGTACTGAGCAATCCATGGGGACATGATTTCAACATTCACACAAGTTCATTGAACGCAATACTCTGAGCAGCTTGGTCTGGTGGTTGGCAACTCTGCACAAAGCAGGGGAGTTGAAACTAGATGAATGTTGTCGTCCCTTTCAACCCAGGCTATTCTATGATTTTCAGTATAATAATTCTGTAGTTCAAACTTCTTTTAAAATTCAAGTTTTTGCTAATTTATAGTGTGTACAGTCATAGTATAAATGACTCTTCTTGGTACAGTAACTCACTAATACAGCTCATCTTTTTCTTCTGTATGTTCAGTCCCTGCAGTTACTTTTCTTTCAGCACCTGGCCTCATGCCTTATGCTATTATAATTCATTCACTTTCTACTCTTTTAGTCCTCAAGAAAAAACAGATCTTGACATTTCCCTATATTAATACAGGGTCTCAACTTTGCGTTGTCACAGTACATTATTTCTCTCTGTGTTCTGTGACCTAATATTTCTGAATCAGACAAAGTTATTCCAATGAAGGATATCTCTGGTACAACAGTTTTCTTTCATCACTGTCCAG